ACCAGGTGATGTCAATCTCAAAGGTTTTAAATGCCCAGACTCATCTGACCTTGCCCCAACAATCAGCACCATGGGTTCTTCTAAGCAGTTGTCTAGAAAACTGAAACTGAAAATAGTTGACGCTCACAAAGCTGGAGAAGGCTATAAGAAGATAGCAAAGCGTTTTCAGATGTCAATATCCTCTGTTCGGAATGTAATTAAGAAATGGCAGTCATCAGGAACAGTGGAAGTTAAAGCAAGATCTGGAAGACCAAGAAAAATATCAGACAGAACAGCTTGCAGGATTGTGAGAAAAACAATTCAAAACCCACGTTTGACTTCACGATCCCTCCAGAAAGATCTGGCAGACATTGGAGTTGTGGTACACTATTCCACTATAAAGAGATACTTGTACAAATACAGTTGTGACCAAAATTATTCAACCCCCAATGCTGTAAAGGGGTTTAGGGACTATAGTGTACATTTGGAATTGTATTCAGAATCAAATCCTACAAGGACGTTGTAACTACCCAAATGCAACTAAAATGACATCAATTGTTTATGTAATACAGTAGTAAATGGTTCTTATGTGGTTTCTTCATTGCCACAATTATTCAACCCCTTAAAGACTACCACTCTGAAGAACAGAGGTTCATACAGGTGCTTTCCATCAGGTATTGAAAACACCTGTGGATGTCACCGAGCAGCAATCAAGCATAATAAGCACCAATTAGGCAGCTTTAAAATGACTGTGATACTCAGCTCCTTCTAGACATTTACTGGTGTGGTTACAAACATGGTGAAGGCAAGAGAATGGTCCAGGAAGACAAGAGAAGAGGTGATTTCTCTTCACAGGAAGGGCAATGGCTATAAGAAGATTGCAAAGATGTTAAACATACCAAGAGACACCTTAGGAAGCATCATTCGCAAATTCAAGGCAAAGGGCACTGTTGAAACGCTACCTGGTCGTGGCAGAAAGAAGATGCTGACTTCGACTGCTGTGCGCTACCTGAAGCGTAGAGTGGAGAGAAGTCCCCGTGTGACTGCTGAGGAACTGAGAAAAGATTTGTCAGATGTGGGTACAGAAGTTTCAGCCCAGACAATAAGACGCACACTGCGTAATGAAGGCCTCCGTGCCAGAACTCCCAGGCGTACCCCCTTGCTGTCTCCAAAGAATAAGAAGAGTCGACTGCAGTATGCCAAAAGCCATGTGGACAAACCACAAAAGTTGTGGGATAGTGTTCTGTGGACTGATGAAACAAAATTAGAACTGTTTGGGCCCATGGATCAACGCTATGTTTGGAGGAGGAAGAACAAGGCCTATGATGAAAAGAACACCTTGCCTACTGTGAAGCATGGTGGAGGGTCAATCATGCTTTGGGGCTGTTTTGCTTCTGCAGGTACAGGGAAGCTTCAGCGTGTGCAAGGTACCATGAATTCTCTTCAGTACCAGGAGATATTGGATGGAAACGTGATGCAGTCCGTCACACACCTGAGGCTTGGGAGACGTTGGACCTTTCAACAGGACAATGATCCCAAGCATACCTCCAAGTCCACTAGAGCATGGTTGCAGAGGAAAGGCTGGAACATTTTGGAGTGGCCATCGCAGTCACCAGACTTAAATCCGATTGAGAACCTCTGGTGGGACTTAAAGAAAGCAGTTGCAGTGCGCAAGCCTAAGAATGTGACTGAACTGGAGGCCTTTGCCCATGAAGAATGGGCGAAGATACCCGTAGATCGCTGCAAGACACTTGTGTCAAGCTATGCTTCACGTTTAAAAGCTGTTATAACTGTAAAAGGATGCTGTACTAAGTACTAAGATTGAATGTCACTTGGGGGTTGAATAAAACTGATAATGCTGTGAGCACAGAAAAGACATTTGTGGTTATTTCATTATAACTGTTATGTTATATTTGTCTGACCTACAAGTGCCTCTTTAATGTAAATGTAAGCAAGATGACTGAATGATCAAAAGCAATGTCAAACTGGAAAACACTCAATTTCAGTGGGGGTTGAATAATTTTGGTCACAACTGTATGGTCTTCATGGAAGAGTCATCAGAAGAAAACCTCTTCTACGTCCTCACCACAAAAATCATCGTTTGAACTTTGCAAATGAACAATCGACAAGCCTGATGCATTTTGGAAACAAGTTCTGTGGACCAATGAGGTTAAAATTGAACTTTTTGGCCGGAATGAGCAAAGGTACGTTTGGAGAAGAAGGGGCACAGAATTTAATGAAAAGAACCTCTGTCCAACTGTTAAGCATGGTGTTGGATCAATCATGCTTTGGGGTTGTGTTGCAGCCAGTGGCACAGGGAACATCTCACGAGTAGAAGGAAAAATGGATTCAATAAAATTTCAGCAATTTTTGGATGGTAACTTGATGCCATCTGTGAAAAAGCTGATGTTAAAGAGAGGATGGCTTCTACAAATGGATAATGATCCTAAACACACCTCGAAATCCACGGGGGATTACATCAAAAGGCGTAAACTGAAGGTTTTGCCATGGCCTTCACAATCTCCTGACCTCAACATAATTGAAAATCTATGGATAGACCTTAAAAGAGCAGTGCGTGACAGACAGCCCAGAAATCTCAAAGAACTGGAAGACTTTTGTAAGGAAGAATGGGCAAAGATACCTCAAACAAGAATTGGAAGACTCTTGGCTGGCTACAAAAAGCGTTTACAAGCTGTGATACTTGCCAAAGGGGGCAGTACAAGATATTAACTCTGCAGGGTGCCCAAACTTTTGCAGACGCCATTTTTTTGTTTTCTGTTATTTTGAAAGTGTAAATGCTGGAAATAAAATCTAACTTTTGTTGACATATTATAAGAATGTCTAATCTGTAATTTGATGCCTTTTGGAGATTTTTCCATCTTTCCTTGGCTTCTTTATGCACATTAATACAAATTTTTAGCTGGGGTGCCCAAACTTTCGATCCCCACTGTATATACACACAGGTGAAACTCAAAAAATTAGAATATCGTGCAAAAGTTAATTTATTTCAGTAATGCAACTTAAAAGGTGAAACTAATTTATGAGATAGACTCATTACATGCAAAGCAAGATAGTTCAAGCCGTGATTTGTCATAATTGTGATGATTATGGCTTACAGCTCATGAAAACCCCAAATCCACAATCTCAGAAAATTAGAATGTTGTGAAATATTCTAGGCTCAAAGTGTCCCACTCTAATCAGCTAATTAAGCCATAACACCTGCAAAGGGTTCCTGAGCCTTTAAATGGTCTCTCAGTCTGGTTCAGTAGGAATCACAATCATGGGAAAGACTGCTGACCTGACAGTTGTGCAGAAAACCATCATTGACACCCTCCATAAGGAGGGATAGCCTCAAAAGGTAATTGCAAAAGAAGTTGGATGTTCCCAAAGTGCTGTATCAAAGCACATTAATAGAAAGTTATGTGGAAGGGAAAGTGTGGAAGAAAAAGGTGCACAAGCAGTAGGGATGACCGCAGTCTGGAGAGGATTGTCAGGAAAAGGCCATTCAAAAGTGTTGGGGACTTTCACAAGGAGTGGACTGAGGCTGGAGTCAGTGCATCAAGAGCCACCACACACAGATGGATCCTAGACATGGGCTTCAAATGTCGTATTCCTCTTGTCATGCCGCTCCTGAACAACAAACAACGTCAGCAGCGTCTTACCTGGGCTAAAGAAAAAAAAGACCTGGTCTGTTGCTCAGTGGTCCAAAGTCCTCTTTTCTGATGAGAGCAACTTTTGCATCTCATTTGGAAACCAAGGACCCAGAGTATGGAGGAAGAATGGAGAGGCCCACACTGCAAGATGCTTGAAGTCCAGTGTGAAGTTTCCACAGTCTGTGTTGATTTGGGGAGCCATGTCATCTGCTGGTGTTGGTCCACTGTGCTTCATTAAGTCCTGGGTCAATGCAGCCGTCTACCAGGAGATTTTAGAGCACTTCATGCTTCCTTCTGCAGACGAGCTTTATGGGGATGCTGACTTCATTTTCCAGCAGGACTTAACACCTGCCCACACTGCCAAAAGCACCAAAACCTGGTTCAATGACCGTGGGATTACTGTGCTTGATTGGCCAGCAAACTTGCCTGACCTATGGGGCATTGAGAACCTAGAGAATCTATGGGGCATTGCCAAGAGAAAGATGAGAGACATGAGACCGAACAATGCAGAAGAGCTGAAGGCCGCTATTGAAGCATCCTGGTCTTCCATAACACCTCAGCAGTGCCACAGGCTGATAGCTTCCATGCCACGCCGCATTGAGGCAGTAATTGCTGCAAAAGGGGGCCCAAACCAAGTACTGAGTACATATACATGCTTATACTTTTCAGAGGTCCGATATTGTTCTATGTACAATCCTTGTTTTATTGATTCCATGTAATATTCTAATTTTCTGAGATTGTGGATTTGGGGTTTTCATGAGCTGTAAGCCATAATCATCACAATTATGACAAATCATGGCTTGAACTATCTTGCTTTGCATGTAATAAGTCTATCTCATATATTAGTTTCACCTTTTAAGTTGCATTACTGAAATAAATGAACTTTTGCACGATATTCAAATTTTTAGAGTTTCACCTGTGTGTGTGTGTGTGTATGTATGTATATATATATATATATATATATATATATATATATATATATACTGCATACACATCATTTTATTGGCCAGAAAAGGTGCGCTTTTCTCCCATCATGTTGCCTTTTGTGATATCTAAGAGTACCTAAAGGAGCAAAGTGTGCCTAAGAATGTGTGCACAGCCTTCCTTTCTCTTTCCATTGCTTTTTACATAAGTGAATTTGCCATGGCAACTAGCTACCAGTTTAGGCCAACAGAAACCTAAAGCAAGGTGCAAATTGCAACTTGGGAAATAATTATTTTATCGAGGAAAGACAGACCAAAGCATACACTGTGTGTTTTATTTTAGTGATAAATAGAAATATTGACAACTGCAATTTGGACGTTAAAGTTATATGTAATACCACTAAAAATATCTACCACTATGTGTATTTTTTTCTTTGTTTATCAGGATGCCTTGCAGCAGAGAATGGCTCAGCAAGAAAGCTCTGTTCTTCAACTGAAGCAGGAGTTGTTGAGGGCAAACATGGACAAGGATGAACTCCATAACCAAAATGTAAGCTATAATTCTGATGCAAAAAGACTAAAGCTGGCAATAGTTTTTTTTCATTTGATCAGTCCAGTACCTGCACAAACAAGGTGGATGGAGAAATACCCCCTGCCGGAACATTGCACTCTAACAGTGGGACCCATTGCTATCAGAATATACTAAACAGCGGCTGCAGCCACTGATTGACGAATGCTTTCCAGCATGTACTGTACCTTCAACAGGAGTCAAATAAATTACATCTGTTAAGCAGAGATCATCACACACTGAAATTTGTCTGCTCCTTGCTGAACTAGACAAATTTGCATCAGTATGGCCTGTTTAACCTGTAAAGAAAGTTACTTTGAGAAGCAGATCTCTTATCAAGAAAGTTATAAGATCTGCCTGACCTTGATGGAACTATCATACCTTCACACTAGGTTCACACATAATCAGTGCAAATGTATCCGTTTTGTAGTGTGATTCAGTCATCAGCTGTGGTCCAAATCAGAGTGGCAAGGCGTTTTTGAGACAATTTGACTTCTCTCTCTCTCTACACATTGTACCCTCATTAGGTATGAACACCTGTACATTTCACATGCAGTTCCCACTGAAGTTTATGCAGTGGAAATCCTAAACGTACAGCTCCAAACTCGCACACGACCCTTTTTCAAAACCACACTGTGACTGGAATGTATATATGTGAATGCCCTCCATAGGAACAAATTCTTTGAGTTATCATGTAAATTTGCCAGCTAAAAACACATCCAAAAATGGACATATGTTAAACAGGACTTAAAATCTGAAATGTTCATTTGGACCAAGCTGACTAATAGATCTGGAACACATCCGTCTGTGATTTGTTCCTTTTTCATTATACACTACTGTATATAAGTAACCATCGCTTATATTACAGTCCACAGTTTCATAAATGTATTATATTGGGATTTTATGTGATGGACCAACACAAAGTGGCACATGATTGTGAAGTGGAAGGAAAATGATAAATGGTTGTCAAAATTTTTTACAAATAAATATCTGAAAATTGTGGAATGTATTTGTATTCAGCCCGCTTAACTCTGATACCCCTAACTAAAATCTAGTGGAACCAATTGCCTTCAGAAGTCACCTAATTAGTAAATAGAGTCCACCTGTGTATAAGTTAATCTCAGTATAAATACAGCTGTTCTGTGAAGCCCTCAGAGGTTTGTTAGAGAACATTCGTGAACAAACTGCATCATGAAGGCCAAAGAACACACTAGATAGGTCAGGGATAAAGTTGTGGAGAAGTTTAAAGCAGGGTTAGGTTATAAAAAATATCTCCAGCTTGGAACATCTCACGGCTCACTGTTCAATCCATCATCCGAAAATGGAAAGAGTATGGCACAACTGCAAACCTACCAAGACATGGCCATCCACCTAAACTGACAGGCCGGGCAAGTAGAGCATTAATCAGAGAAGCAGCCAAGAGGCCCATGGTAACTCTGGAGGCGCTGCAGAGATCTACAGCTCAGGAAGGAGAATCTGTACACAGGAGAACTATTAATCGTGCACTCCACAAATCTGGCCTTTATGGAAGAGTGGCAATAAGAAAGCCAATGTTTAAAGAAAGCCATAAGAAGTCCCGTTTGCAGTTTGTGAGAAGCCATGTGGGGGACACAGCAAACATGTGGAAGAAGGTGCTCTGGTCAGATGAGACCAACATTTTTCTTTTTGGCCTAAAAGCAAAATGCTATGTGAAAACTAACATGTCACCTTGAACACACCATCCCCACTGTCAAACATGGTGGTGGCACCATCATGTTGTGGGGATGCTTTTCATCAACAGGGACAGGGAAGTTGGTCAGAGTTGATGGGAAGATGGATGGAGCCAAATACAGCGCCATCTTAGAAGAAAACTTGTTAGAGGCTGCAAAAGACTTGAGACTGGGGCGGAGGTTCACCTTCCAGCAGGACAACGACCCTAAACATACAGCCAGAGCTACAATGGAATGGTTTAGATCAAAACATATTCATGTTTTAAAATGACCCAGTCAGAGTCCATAACTAAATCCAATTGATAATCTGTGGCAAGACGTGAAAATTTCTGTTCACAGATGCTCTCCATCCAATCTGACAGAGCTTGACCTATTTTACAAAGAAGAATGGGCAAAAATTTCACTCTCTAGATGTGCAAAGCTGGTAGAGACATCCCCTAAAAGACTTGTAGCTGTAATTGCAGCGGCTGAATACAAATGCACGCCACACTTTTCAGATATTTATTTGTAAAAAAGTTTGAAAACTATTTATCGTTTTCCTTACAATTTACAGTTATGGACTACTTTGTGTTGGTCTATCACATAAAATCCCAATAAAGTACATTTACATTTTTGGTTGTAACATGACAAAATGTGGAAATTTCAAGGGGTATGAATAATTTTTCAACGCACTGTATATTCTCCTTGTGCTCTCACCAAATAATGAAGCAAGTAAAGCCCTTCAGTCCATACACTTGTGTGTTCCCTTGTGTGTAGATATTCAATTTGATTCCAACATGTTTCTCTCCCACCATGCAAAAAATGTAAATCGCATATAATGTAATCTCTTAAGATAAATGAACTATTAAAAACCAAATTATCATGTTCACATAAAAAACAATATACTGTGACAAACTTATCTCCACAACGTGAAAAAATTCTGGTATCCACCACCTTTACTCTTATCCTCAGTCCAAATAATTCCTGCAGTATTATAAATTATCCTTCTGCTGTTGTCCACCTGTTGATCACCTCACCGGATAGTCTCCCCAAAAAATAAAATGCTTATACAGTGTAGTAGTTTGTATTAATAAAATTTAAATTCTTTTAGTTAAATGCATTCACATTCTATATATGAAAATCTTAAACACCCACTGCTCAGCCTTCAGACCATGAACCTTACCAAATTCACATGAAACCAAGCATGTATGAACGCCAAGGTCCACTCTCTTCAAGCCAACACCATCGCACGTCCACAATAACTCCATATACTCAAAAGCCATGTAGGATCAAATAGAATAAAATCATAGTGCAGCAATACCTAAATAGCACTAAAAATCGAACTATTTATTTGCTAAAAATGCTGCTTACAATGTAAAGATGAATGCTAGCATACAAAACCTTTTCCAAAATTATTATTATTATACAGTATTTATAAAGCGCCAATAGTTCGCTCAACGCTGTACATTACAAAGGGGGACAAAATGGCTGCTGATGGGCTTCGTGTTTGCGTCTGACGTCACTTACTGATGTGTTTCATCGGATTGACTTCCTCAAAGGATGTGCCTTCTTTTTTTTTATTTTAATAGAAAAGACAAAATTGTTTTTTCAAAGCAAAGATTTTCTAACATCGTAAAAGACTGTGCATTTAATAGCACTAACAATGCTGCTTGGGAAGGCTCAGTTTTGTTCTGATGTCAATGCCACAAAGCCTAGAAGCTACAGTAGGCTTGAATCTGTTGTACCATGTATAAACCATGTATGAGCACCTATATACACAAAGGTATGAAAATACTGAAAATATTTTAACTACTTTATCAGGTGGATTTGCAAAGAAAACTGGAAGAAAGAAATCAGTTAATTGGGGATTATAAAGTGAGTATATGTTAACTTTTTGTGACTTTAAATTACTATATGGAGCATATCGCAATAACATAATGAAAAAAACAAATACCTCTCCCACTAAATCTGATTCTTTTACAGAAAGAAATCACACAAAAGGATTGGCTTATACAGCAGATGCAGGGGAAACTTGATGAGGCACACAGAAAACTTTCAGAAGCAAGCTATCAAAAGGTACGTCAGTCTGCTTGACTGTTGGCATTGGGTAGTGGACTTACCTGATTATGTAGTAATCTACTGTAGGTTATAATGAACTACTATACTTACTATAAATGATAATATTAGGATTTGCAGAGGAGGTAATGGATCATATAAAGAATACACATGGTCCAAAGCCTTATGGGTTTATAAAGGACACTGAATTCCATGGTGAACCCAAATATCCTTATTTTGCTGTAGGAACTATGTAATTTTGTTTAGCAGAACAAAATTTGACATTTAAGGGATTTTTAATGGAAAAAAACCCTTGAAAAAATAGTAACAAAAGAGTTGAAACCAAGCAGAATCATTTCATTAGAGAATAAAGGGTGCAAACTGATTAGTCACTATGGGCAACAGTGACACTTATTTTTGCCCCTATGGCTGTGTGTACATGGGCTTCAGACACAAGTGTCAGCAGATAGCATTCTGTTGGGTGGTTCCAGGAAAAATTCTATTGCTTTAAAGATGCATTTACCATAAATATGCATAACATCTTTGCTTATTTGTACAGAGGAATTGCAACAGTTCAAAGGCAGTAGGACAGAATTTGCTGCATTTGAAAACAAGTACATGGCAAACTCTGCGATGATTGAAAATGCTTTACAAACATGTCAGCAGCTACAGTGCCTTGAAAAAGTATTCTTACCCCTTGAAATTTTCCACAAAATTTGGCATGTTACAACCAAAAACGTAAATGTATTTTATTGGGATTTTATGTGATAGACCAACACAAAGTGGCACATAATTGTGAAGTGGAAGGAAAATAATCCTTTTTTTTTTTTTTTTTTTTTTTTTTTTTAATTTTTTACAAATATGTGAAAATTGTGGAGTGCATTTGTATTCAGCCCCTTTACTCTGTTACCCCTAACTAAAATCTAGAATTGCCTTCAGAAGTCACCTAATTAGTAAATAGAGTCTACCTGTGTGTAATTTAATCTTAGTAAAAATACATCTGTTCTGCAAAACCCTCAGAGGTTTGTCAGAGAACATTTGTGAACAAACAGCATCATGAAGGCCAAGGAGCACATCAGACAGGTCAGGGATAAAGTTGTGGAGACGTTTAAAGCAGGGTTAGGCATAAAAAATATCCCAAGCTTGGAACATCTCACGGAGCACTGTTCAATCCATCATCTGAAATTGGAAAGAGTATGGCACAACTGCAAACCTACCAAAATATGGTGGTCCACCTAAACTGACAGGCCGGGCAAGGAGAGCATTAATCAGAGAAGCAGCCAAGAGGCCCATAGTAACTCTGGAGGTGCTGCAGAAATCCACAGCTCAGGTGGGAGAATCTGTCCATAGGACAATTATTAGTCGTGCATCCCACAAATCTGGCCTTTACGGAAGAGTGGCAAGAAGAAAGCCATACATACATTATATAGTCAAGATGAAGGAAAATCTATTAGGGTGTGGCCAGCTACAAACAAGCACTGATGGCCAGATGTCCAGACTGTGACACCAGACAAAAACCAACAAACGCTGACAGAATGTGGTGAATGGATAAAGATTCTTAAACACTGTTGCCAGTGTCTAGGTGAGGACACAGACTGACATACACAGATAAATATACACTGTGTTTGATGAATATAGATGATGGAAAGACCAAGCATGGTGAATTCTCAGATTAAATAAGTCTCCGACAATGGTCGCATCTGCTTTGCAAAGCTCCTCATACTTTTTTTTTACAAATCATTCATTTGCTTTGACCCATTTGTTGTGTTTTTATTTATTTTACAATAACCTTCCTCTTGTGTTAGTTTCCTGTTACCATCTCTTATGTTAACGGGTCGGTTTTGACCCGTGTCTTAAATCAGCTGTAAAATACACTAAAAACAATTATCTATCATCCAATTTGTTTCTCATCTCTTGGTTACCTCGTTAGGCTTCCTTAGCCATGAAAATATTGGTTTTAATATTTTCGGTGTGGGCCCATGGACCTTTTTTTTGTCAGTATACCCCTCGATTTCAATTAAAAAACAATGTAAAATGAACCTCAAGAGAATCATATAAATAAATAAAAGGTTGTTATGTCACCTGACTATTACTGAGGGGATGTAAACACATCTCTGAAATAAATTTGTTTTGTTTATTTTTTCATTTTAATATTATTAACTATAGTAACATCTATGGTGTTACAGGTCAATTTCGACCCATATATATAATTACTTCAAAAAGGCAAAAAAGTCTCTTTTTTTCAGCAATAGAACTTTAGTACAAACACAAAATGAAAAACAGAACAAATATATATATATATACATATATATATAACATAAATATAACAAAATATAGATTTGCAAGGTCAAACAAACAACAACCAATCAAGCAAATCAAACCAATAGAAATCAATTACTCATTCCAACACTAATAAAAAACTAAATCAGAGTAAAAGTCTGTGTGCAAGAACGTGTGTGTGTGTTTAGATGCATGTGTGGCAAAAAGTGACACTTTTAGTGTGTTCTTTGCAGAGATATTTGTTGCAGTTTAAGCACAGTACTTGTATTTGTCTTTCTGTCCTTACTGCTTGGGCAGACCTGACACCTCTTTCTTTTAGAATCAGGTGGCCTGAGTGGGGTTGTGGCTGTTGTGGATGATGTTGAGGCAGGGCTGGCTGAGGAGGATGCTGGTGTGGACAAAGTGCTAGGTGACCTCTGCAGCTGTCTGACCAAGACTGCAGCATTTGGGTCTCAGGGGCACCCGTTCCCTTCCCTCAATGTGTGGCTTGACAAGGGAATTTCCCAGCTCCTCAAGAAAACATTCTCCGCTTATTTTTTTTTGGTTGAGTTCCATCCTTGGTGGATGTGGGTCCACAACACAAATGCATTATATGCAGACACATCAAGGATGTTGTAAAACACAACCATTGGCCATCTCCTGGTCATTCGCTGGCAAGTGTAGGTGGCAGTCAGCTTGTCCAGGTTGTCCACTCCTCCTTTGTTTTTGTTATAGTCGAGGATAATTGTGGGCTTTTTGTCACTTCCTGATGACACAGCTGCATCTTTGTGAAGAGTAGACATAAGTATCACATTCCTTTTTTTTTTTTGGACAATATGAGAAAACAGTGGTGGTGTCTGTAAAAGCAAACTTTGTGGACAGTGCAGCCCTGTCCTTCACCTGCAAGATTTCAGCAGGCAGATCAGGTTTATTTTTCTTCACTGTGCCCACCATGGTAAGTTTCCTCCTGAGAAGTTCTTGTCCAAGGTCATAGCTGGTAAAAAAATTGTCACAAGTGATATTGTGACCCTGCAGTCCAGTAGTCATATCAAGGTCCACACGTTTTCCTTGGTTTTTCTCAGGGATGCCACTTGCAGCTTTGCCTGTGTAAATCTGTAGATTCCAGGCATAGCTGGTTTTTGCATCACAGGCTGCCCAGATTTTTATGCCGTACTTCCCTGGCTTACTGGGTATGTATTGCCGGAAGGGGCATTTTCCTCGGAAAGGGACAAGACATTCATCCACTGTCACCTCTGGCCCAGGGTTGAACATCAGTGGAAGGCGCTGCACCCATCTCTCCCAGACATCCCTGAGGGGGGCAAGCTTGTCAGATCTTGCTCTGGTATCTCTGTTGTCAAATCTGAGGACTCTTGATATCATTTGAAAGGTCTGAAGTGACATTGTTGCCCGGAAAATATCTCTGCCTGTCGATGCATCCCACAGACTATCTGTGGCCTCATTGCAGGATCTGTACACTCCAGCAAGAAGAAGAACACCAATATAGGCATCCAGGTATTCCTCATCAATGTCTTTCCACATGCTGCCATGGACTTTTTTTCCTTCAAGGTTTGTCATAGCAATGATGACTCTTTTTAGTGACTATGGCATAAATAGCTCAAAACATGTCTTGATGTCACTTACTCTCATCACAGCAAACCTTGTGATTCCAGGGGTCATTTTGATGACATTTGCAGCAGCTGCCCTGCCATGTACATCAGGAGGTGCTGAGCTCCAACAGATCTTACCATTTTTGGACTTGAATATTTCAACGGGAGCAGCTTCAGCTCCGGTGGCCTCCTCATCAGACTCATCAGATGTGTCTGTGTCTTCTGGATGATACTCCACATTGTCTTCCTCCTCAGAAACCTGCTCATCCAAATCACTATGCTCCTCTGTGTTCTCTCCCTCATTTTCACCAAAAATATTATCCAGAACTTGGCTCAATTAAAATCTTCTTCTCATTTTTGCATGCTACAAATTGGAGATGTGCACTCTGCAAGTCACCAATTCTATACTGAATTGGCCTCACATGTCTGGACATGGCCGTCTTTGTTTGTTTTGTTTTTGTGCAGGTATACTGGAAAACAAGGCAAAATGAGAATCCCCTAAAGATCACATGATTGGGAGAGGAGCTGGCTGTCAGTGTGCTGGTTGACAGTGAGCTTATGATTTCAGTTTTGGCTCTAATTATTGCTTTTTAATCTTATTTTTATAACTGGGTCGAAACCGACCCTAACAACACAAAGGTCATAATTTCAACTTGAGCATTTTATAATTTAGTGAAAACAATTTTTTTTTATTTTGTTGAAATAGAGGTTCCTGACAAAGTCATAAAGCCTTGATGCAATAAACAAATTTATATGGTTATTTTATGCATTTAAAACCTAAAAACGGGTCGTGCCGACCCTAACACAAGACGAAGGTTAATATGTACCATTTAAACAAATTTAATATAGTATTAACCTCCTGTTTGCATGTCATTTCCAAATACAGCCAGTCCCTGGGTTACAAACAAGATAGGTTCTGTAGGTTTGTTTTTAAAGCAGTAATACTGCACCAAAGAGGAAAAAAATGAGCCCCCGGGTGGTTTTAGTCATGTGCACAGAGCTCTGAAGGAACGGCACAGGTATTCCTTCAGAGTGCATGCACCGGTGACATCACCAGCTGCTGCAAAAGTAAATATAATAAAAAATAATTTTTACGTTTTTTTGTATAGCCTAGGGAAGGGTTAACACCCCTGTAATGTTTGTTTTGTTGTCTGT